TGGCCCAAGTGGTTAGAGCGCGAATTCACTGACCGGAAGGTCCGTGGTTCGAACCCGACCTCTGCCACTCGATTTCCCCTGTCTAGGCCTGGGCGACCTGGCAGTATCCCAGCCCTCGTGCTTCCTCCGGGTGGCATGGCAGCTAGGCACCGGAAGGGTGTTACAGCTGAACAGTTGTTATTATTATTACCATCCCATACTATCCAACATTCTCACCCGACCCAACCAATGCTTCGAAGACACCGGCGGTCATCGACAGCTTTCGTATGTCCCCTGTTCGTGGAAGCCCAGTTTCTGATCCATAAAGCACTATATATCACACTGTCGCAGTGTATACTCAGTTCTTGACAGGAAAACTGACGTCACGTTGGTGCCATAGGTGTCGGTAATTGGCAAAAGCTGACCTGGCCTTCCCGATCTGCAGCCAGTCCACCGGAACATATGCAACTGCCCAGATAAACAAACCTGTCTACCGCTTCGCATGGCTCGTCTGCAAGCGAGGTTTGGGTTTGGTCGTACTCAGTCTTGCAACAGCACTTTACACTACAGGTGTGAAGCGCATGCCAAACCACTCGTTACAGTTGTTTGGTTTGCATGGTTTGCATTTTTGAAGGATCCGAACGAAGGAGAGCAATATCGTCCGTGTACTCGCTGTATGTGAGCGATCGTCCGTGGAACATTTTGACCCCCGACCTCCCTACGGATTGAATCGTGCTGCTAAGGTCTTTCTACCCGACTACAAGGACATGTCCGTGTATACGTGGGACGATCTTCAGCTTTCAACTTGTCCTCCGGTTCGACTGGGCTATTCGTCGGCCCTTTTGCTGTTCAGCTTCGCGGTTTACTGGATAATACACCCAAACCTTCAGTGGACACGGAGTGAACATTGAACAGAATGTATCGGTCGCAGATTTTGAATTCGTGCCTGACAGTTGTCTTCGCCTTAGGTCAGTCTACAGCAGATCCTCAAAAGAGTTCCCTAAATCTTGAGGCGAATGCCTCGAAAAATAAGGTCTTTGCTCCATCAGCGCTCAATGGCGACGGACCATCCACGGTATAAACTCAGTATTCGGTAGTTCAAATACCTGAGCTCCTTTCTTTCAGACTGCAAGGCTGATGACGGCTGATGGCCGGTTGAGTATTGCTGGCAGAGGCTTCTTACACCTCACACCGTCGTTAGTTGTTGGATTGATTGACTGCTTGACTGACGTGGGTGCATGCTGGCTTCCATACTGCGATTCTAGTGGAGTTTGAAGGTCTTAGCCGGTCTCGGGCATTCTGCGATTGTTTCCAGGGACCTGACCTTCCCAACACCTTCGGCCGTTCAATGTAAGATTGTCAGCGCAGGTCAGTTTGAAGAGGTTCTACTTTTTTTCTGACGCGATCGGTGCAGCGTCTCCGTTGCAGCAAATGGGTCCGTCGTGGGCGATACAAGTGAAGCGGAGGCTGTCCTTGAACGACCGAAGGTTTCCAGCAACAGATTGAAGTCTAATGACTGCTCTTCCGCTTTCTGGATCGAGCACTCAGTTGGCCCTAGCTGTTTAACATACCGTTTTCATATCGGTGATCCCACCCGGATGTTATAAATCACCTGACCAATTCTTTTGAGGACGACTCCAACAGTCCAATTAGGTTTCACAGGACGATAGTCCATCACAGTCACCTGGTTTCCAGACCAGAACGTTGATTTCCATCTCGTTGGTGATTGGAAACATGTGAATGTTGGTGGGATAGCGTCGTGAGCAAGTCTCAAGTCTGTTCATCATAACCTCTGCTGGAGAACGACCGTCAGGTGACTGGATTAGGGGTTGCTCAATAACTCACCAGGAACGTATCAAAGACTGCCGCGGCCTCTTCCCCTTCTGCTTTTGCTTACGCGCATCCACGAACCGCTCAGTTTGATCGTTGGATTGTGGATGGAATGGTGGGAAGGTGAAATCCGTGATGCCGAATCTTCGAACGAATTCACCAAACTGAATATTTTTGTTGGCTGCAAAAGTTTCAGGCATAACAAAGACTTCAGACCACTTATCAAATGATTCAACAACAATGGGGAAGCTCTGTCTGTTAATTGGTCCCGCAAAATCCATATAAATACGCGATTGTTACTCTTCTAGATGTGGCTAAGGCTGCGGCGACTGTGTATTGGGTAACTTCTGTGCAGCTGGGACATGCCTGCTCCAAATGCCCATCCATACCGGAACGATAAACAAAGCTGTGAGCAACGGCCTTCATTCGGCTTATCCCTGGGACTGTGGGACTATGCTATGATCCGGCGGTAAAGTTTGGTGGGAACGACGATTCGGTCACCCAAGAGAAGACAGCCACTGACAACAGATGGTGAATTCCGTCGTTGAGAAAAAGTTGCTGAAGTTCTCCTGGTGGACAATGCTGTGAGATTTCAGTGGTTCCAGGCGAGATTAGAAGGAAGACTATTGAGGGGCGCAATGTGCGCTCAGGAGCGAGATGGCCCAAGTGGTTTTGGTGCGAATTTACTGACCGGAAGGTCCGTGGTTCGAACCCGACCTCTGCCTCTCGACTCCCCCTGTCTAGGCTTTGACAACCTAGCAGTATCCCAGCCCTCGTACAACCTTCGGGTGGCATGGCAGTTGGGCACCGAAAGAGTGCTACAGCTGAACGAATGTATGCTTTGATCGTCTGATGACGGTAGTACATGAGCTGGAAATTTAGAGTGAGAATCACGAGTTTTAGTGTATGAAAAGCATGGTTTATATGGTCATGACAGACAGGTTGTTGACTAGCTGGTTTGGCGGTACTCCACAGCCTTCTATAGAACACTCAATTTTGGTGGCATCGCAGACCGTGTCAAAAGTCACGGGTAGTTGTGAGATGCTTAGAATATGTGCGAGAACGAGTTAAGATAGAGTCTGATTTATCGAGGATAACGTTTTACTTTGACTAGCTGGTTTGGCGGTACTCCACAGCCTTCTATAGAACACTCAATTTTGGTGGCATCGCAGACCGTGTCAAAAGTCACGGGTAGTTGTGAGATGCTTAGAATATGTGCGAGAACGAGTTAAGATAGAGTCTGATTTATCGAGGATAAACGTTTTACTTGTCTGAGAACAAGCGCAGATGAGCTGAAATGTACATGCGAATATTCAATACTAGTATATAGGGTGATTATAATAATAAGCAGACAATAACTATGACAAGTTGGTTTATGCTTTCCAATACCAGAGTGCAGATTTCTGGTTGGACGGCAACGGCTACTTTAAACCGGGGTTCTGCCTCTGTCTGCTTTGTGACTTCCGGGTTTGACTGAACCTCCGACTAGCTTTCCCTATCCCCACGTCGATTACACACCGAACACTTGTGCTTTGTACAAGGGCACCATCCCACGAAATGTCGATGGCCGCATTGCCAACGGTGGTGATGGGGGCTTTTCTGCTTCCGAATTAGCCGTCACAGGCAGTTGCCTCGAAGTCGTATTAGCAATACTGAAGGCAGGGGTGGATAATGGTCTCTTTTACGTGGCCCTGTCGTGTTTGAGATTCAACAGGCGCTGGCACTTGAAATGTATGCCCTCAAATCCCCAACTTGTCTCCTTTCTGAGGAATGCCAACACGAGCGAAGTGTGGCAATCAGTTAAAATTTTTCTTTCGAGTGATGTTGGTGAACTTTTGCACCGATTCTGACAGCATTGATAAGCTCTTTATTGACAATGGTGAAACCGTAGACGTTCTAATGTCAGGGGCTAGCATTCTACAATGTACACCTGCGTTGAGTTGTGCTCCGTAGCTGTAGACGGTCTGTACTTCTGGTGGGGGCCATTTCCCACAGATGTGAGCTGATTGCACAGGTGGCTAAACTGATCGAAATTTCAACGACAGACCGCAAGGAACTGTTTAATCGTCCTTCTATCGTGTAGTTGAAGTTTACTGGTGATACATATGGACAGACATGGGTCATCGCAAGTTCACTTTTGGAGGCCACTGCTGACGGACTTTTTATTGGCCTTATTGGAACCTACACATTGTAGCCTACTGGACGGCCTTCTACCTTTTACACTCCATATATGAGTGATGTATTCGTTCTGGTTAGTTATGGTTGGCAAGATTTAACTGTTCCCACCCAGCCGGCGCATTCACCTTAATACAGAAGTGGGGACAATCCGCACTTCCTGGATGTGGACCTAACCGGACGGAGTGGTGGTGTTCTGAGGGAATATTTCTTATATATGCCACATGAAGTAGCCAGTATGCAAATTTTCGTGGTTTTGTATCACTCGGAACATGAACGTAATACGCATCCGGGTTGGTTGTTGTCTCAAAATGGCTTGGTCATGTAGTACGCGTGTCCAAACACTGTCTACCGAAAAGAGTTCTGTGTTCTGCCTGAACCTTCGCGTCCTATGGCTGGAAATCCTTCACCATAAGGTGTGCAGCCGTAACGAAGAAGCTGTCACCTAGCCAGACTGCGTGGCAAAACCCCGACCGTCACGTGTTTTTGAATGGATTTCGCCAACAAAACGGTCAAATTTGCCGATTGTGTCGTAGTCCAACACAATGCTCGAGTATGTTTATTTCAATGTTTGTTTCAGTTCAAAGGTTTAGACACCGTCAGTTCTTTCAGCTGTTTCCCTTAGGGATTCTGAAATGATACACTTTTCGGGTTGTCCGGTGGTTAACTGCCGTTGTTAGCTAATATTTGATTGGGTCCATAACGATGACGAGGGAGATTGTGTTAGTCGTAATGACGGTGATTTGGATAATGAAGATGATGGTCTTAGTGATGATCCTCGTGTGCGTGATCTCTAATAGGGGGCACCGCATATTTTTACTGAATTTGGGACGTGCTACCAAAAAGTAGATGGGTACGATTCATGGGTTCATTGGTGCGATGCTTTGTGGTTATTTGCTAACTAGTCCGGAACTACACTGATGGATGTTGAGTTGACGAGGACTGATGAACACATCTAAGCTGATAATTTGGTTGCAGGACCACCTCTCTTACACGCTTTTTTGCCTTTCTTCTAGCTCCAAAAGTTGAAGAATCGTCCGAAGAGGAAGAAGAATCTGAGTTTCCATCACCATCCGCTGCTTCAAATGGTCATTTCAGTGAGGAAAACGCAAAACGTATGCGAAAGAAGGTTCAGCGTCTTTCAGAGACACTTAGCGAGGCTCACGCCGCAATGGTTGAACAGAGGGCCAAGGCAGCCAAAGAACTCCTTGAGGCTGGTAATGGCACGGCACTAGGTGACATTCCAAGCATTGAAACCAACTTCCGGAAAATGCAACCCATTAGTCTCAAACCGCTTCACCTCGTCATCTACGGGCGTTTGGGCGCCATCACGGAGGTCCGATCGAACCTTCGTAAATTCCGAGGTTTTCCATTCAAGTCTGGCTCCCCAGAATACAATAAAAAACTTTCAGAAGTTGAGCGGTACGTTCATTTTGCCCAGTTTGATGGAATTTAAGTGTTCCAATTGATAAGCTTTCGTACGCGGCGCACACAAGGCTACCCCACATAATTTCCTTCCATCACAATGACGCTTTGGTTTTTGAAACTTTCCTAATCAATTCACGATGCATTTTGCTGTAGATTTCAGTCTTGCTATGTCCGGTGGAACTATTTCTTTCGAAAGTTTGAAAAGACTGGACTAGATCCAGGCTCTTAAAATGTGTCCGACAGCGTGTTAGAAAGAAGTACGAGTTATCCAGGATAAACAACCTTTTATGTCTGAAAACTAGCATGGATGGAGTTCATCAGTAACACCCTTTCGGTGCCTAACTGCCGTGCCACTCAAAGATTGCACGAAGGCTGGGGTACTGCCAGGTTGTCCAAGTCTAGACAGGGGAAGTCAAGAGGCAGAGTTCAGGTTTGAACCATGGACCTTCCGGTCAATAAATTCGCGCTCTAACCGCTGAGCCGCCTCGAATGGATCAGCTGAAATGTACCTACAGAAATTCAATACGAGTATATAGGTGATCATAATAGTAAGCAGACAACAATCACGATACACCTCTCTCGATTATTCATTTTCGTCATTCGTGAAATACTGAGTTGAACACTAGATGTACCAAACCCCAGTGTTGCTGGTGAGAACCTTGTCGGTCTGAAGTATGTAGAAGATATCGTCCTCATCTATGAAGACAAAGCGTAGCACAAACTCTGTTGAATAAACGGACAATCACCAGCGCACACTTTGCACCGTCAAATTACTGTACTGTTGTATGGTTGCGAGACATAGTTTCTGCAGACATATGATGAGAATTATTTTCAAGTTTTCGACCACCGAAGCCTCAGAATCGTTGCTGGGGTTGGATGGCATCGACGGATTCTTGATAAGGTAATTATAAAACGTGTTTGAATCTAATCAGTTCATTGGCCCATTGTTAGGTTTGTTTGCTGTGGTGTAGAGTGAGATGGCACTAGCTTTCGTGCTAGGCCGCCTTTGGTTCTGTCGGCGGGTCGTGATTGTGAGGTTCACAAAGTTCTATATCCCCTGGAGTTTCCCTGGAGAGCAGGCAGCAGAATAAACTGTCAAGGGTTTCCATGCATCGTTTTCAATCTTGGGCTGACCATTTTGTGACGACCTGAACGGGTACAATCAACGACTACGCGCGGCTTGAGAGCGTGCTCACAAATCCGCACCTCTGACGCCAACTAATCTATCCTAGTACAGGGAGAAGAAGACCGGACCTTCGACTGAAATTCCCAACACATTTCTAGTTGGTTTTCAGCCAACACATGCCTGAGCAAGCACAACTCTGCGAGGCTAAGTTCTTAAGCCTACGGAACAAATGGCTCAACCAACCTAAGTTATGCACTGCAACCAGTTTATTTGTTTATTTATTTTTCCGAAAACTAGCTGGCACATCTCAATACTGCTGATCCGATGTTTCCACCAGATCCACGCGACTCTAAGGAGGCATCGGTCGTCAGGCACAAAGTCTACGCGGCGGCAATTTCTCTGATTAATAAGACAGGATAGATCTCACTTCAGTACCACATTCCTCTAAACTGTATTGGTGTCATGTTTTACGCTGGAGAACTTCACCCTGTCCTTATTCGGGACATCTTATTGTCTTTCGCCAGTCCACTGAGACTTCTGTGCTTGTCTAGATAGATAATTTAATCTAACAAATTATCGGTTTGCATACAAGTTTATGGATCGGGTTTGATCTCACCTGTGCAGTATCTGTCCCTGTTCAATGTCCCTGGAACGTTTCTTCCTCCGAGGTGTTTGCAAAACAAGACTGGCGTAGCACGTCGATGACGAAGTTGAATAGATAGGATAACAGAGAGTAACCTTTGTTAACACCACCAGATGTGGTGACCTCTGGCGAAAGGTCGCATTTGGCTTATGGGCATCCACAGGACTGGACACATGAAGTTCATTTAATGGATCCGAATTTTGAAGGGACTACTTCGATAGTTAGGCACTGCCATAGTTTCCAACAGTTAACAGAATCAAAAGTCAAGATAAATGACCGTTGTTGGTTGTTGAAAGGAATAGTGCAGTTTCACATAGTGTTCTTGCACCTCTTGTAGATTAGTTTGATTGTGTAGGCGTTCCTCTCCTCCAGTAATTCATCTTTAGTCCATGTGTTTTTGATTGAGGTCGTTAGACTATTTCTAGATTAATGTGAACCGTAGCTTGTGATACCGAAGCAGTCAAATTTCGCGCCGATATCGACCTTTCTTTCAGGTATCTGTTATTGATCCAAAGCTTGAGCATCAGGAGACCGAACGTCACTTCTCACGAAGTTTCCCACTAGTCATTCGTATACAGCAGTACTCATTGGATATCGATCCGTGGACAGTGGACTTTACTGTCGTTTATCAATCTATGTGATATATTAGATCATGTTGAGTGTCTTACTGTGGCGTCCACAAAGTTCATTCATACCGAATCGGCCAGCAGACAGAAGTTAGGTGAAGTTTTCTGGTTCCTGGGGTCCATGTACTTCAGTTCGTTAATCAAAAATGTATTATATGGTGACATGCTGACACCTGCCAGCTACGTTGCAGTCGGGTTGTTGAAATCTGTTTCGGTTGAGGCGTCTTCACGAAGTTCTCGACAGTTTGGTTTTCACGGGAGATTCAGGTAAAACCCGACTGAATCCCTCGTTCGTGATATTCTCCAGCGGAATGTGTTGCACAATGGCACTATGATGTTTCATTTGACACTATTCTAGGTATCGCAGCACTGATTGTTGATCAGTTGACTGTTGATACTTTCGGCGGGCTTGGCAGTTTACTTGCAGATATCCCGTTTGGGGAAACGTCGTCAGCGTGCTATTGGGTGGGTTCGCACCTGCTTGCGTCGTGGTGGTCTGCATCTGTGCATCTGCCACGGACAGCTTTTACGACGGACTGAATGTCTACAAGTCGGAGTTACCAATGATAGATAGGTTGGCCTAAAGCTACTGAGATATAGTTGAGTAGTGGTTTTTTACCACAAGGGGCGCGCGGATAATAGATTGTTGCATTTGTCCTTTGCCGTCCTTTACCCTACGCATGTCCAGAACAACATAAATGGTTTAGCTACATGGTGCACACCAACAGCCGGCCTCACTTGGAAATGGACCGCGTTGCCATCAGTTAATGATGGTTAGATTAGCTTTTCTTAGAACACTTGTGTGGATTCCGTTCATGTCTCTTCGCACTGCGCGCACCATTCTGGGCTGTTGATGAGCTTATATACCTCCAATTCAAAGTGTTAAGCAGCTGATGAGATACCGGATATTAATTACCGTCAGGGTGAGTGTTCTTCGACTATATGTCTGCCTGTATCACAACCCAGTCAGTTTTTTTCAGACATTTGATCTATGTTATTAGAAGGTAAGAGGCATTCCGTTTCACCTTAACCTGCATGTTACCTAATGAATCATCTGTCGTTAAGCCAAACTGAGTGTACTTCCAGACCGCATAGCCGAATAGGCACAAAAGATCGAAAAATAGAGATGAAAATCGCTAGAAATGTCTACAAATTGCCTATCTTTGGTGAAAGGATCAAGGAGCCAGTAGCCCCCTAATCTGCACTGAGGCAAGATATAGTCTTTCGGAAGAATATTTTGAAGCCTGCTACATTCCACCAGGCCTACCGGTATGTAACGCGAACACGGACCGGGGATCTTTCAGCCTCGAAGGTAAACAACTGGTATATGCACCTTGGTACTTTCTGGTTTCTAAGGTGGATTTGGCACTTGGGTGGTTTGTTCTGGACATGGCTGCTCAGCAAGGAATGTCCTGGAAGTTTCCGAAAGTGATGACTTTCTCGTATTCTCAGGATTATGGACAAATGAGATCTGCGAAAGCTTTCCTCCGAAAATTGATGTTCAATGGAATTTCCACTCTTCAAAGCATCAGCATCAACACTTGTGTTACTGTCTGCGCTGCGGAAGATGTTGGTAATATTTCAAGAAACTGAGATGGCTTATATGTTTCCAATGTGTCTTTTGTTATATCATATCCACCCAGTTCCTCCTCACTTAGAAATTACTAAGCAGGCTTACTGCGTTGTACCATTTATAGATGATTCTATAGTGCTGCGCAACTACTTCTTATCTGGACCACTAGAAACATTGTTCCTTACTTGCGTAAAGGTAGATTGTCAGATTTACCTTCCAGCCCTCTGTGTGTCAGCTCTATTTTGTTTGACCTTGTTAAGACCTTTTTATCCATAGTTTGCATCTCGCCACTGGAGAGAGTGAATTAAATCAGACATCCTACTGTATGCCCTCTCCCTGTTGATGCGATATAATCGTTTTAGCTGTGGATGGATTTCTACGTTTCGGCTAACTGCTTATCTTTTGCTCACACCAAACCTATAATGGCAAGTGCCCTTTATTCCTGACTTTCTGGCTTTACTTATTGCTCATTCTGTAGGCGGACCTCAAAAGAACTGCGGGAGGTTCTACGTATCCTTAATCTTGAAGTTTCCGGATCAAGAGAGCAGATAGCGACGCGACTGCTCGACTTCCTATTGGAACCTAACGCTGATAAAGTAAAGTATAAAGGTCAAGTCAAGCGGAGTCGGAGAAGTGTCAAGAAGGAATCTAAGAAAAAGACAAAAAAGACACCAAGTGCTAGAAAAACTCCTTCCAGTGAAGGTAGTGGGAAGGAAGTTAGCCATACAGAAGAGGACACAGCCTCAGATGACGGCGACAGCAATGTTTCATCCCTAGATGATGAATCAAGTGGTGAAGAGTACTCTTCGGCGGCTAAGAAGCCTGCACAATCGAAGGGCAGAAATTCACAAAGAGGACCAAGAAAGCGTCGGGCTCGCCTCGATGATTCCGATTCTGAAACAAACCAAACAACTACCACTAGGACAACCCCTAAGCATATGAAGGTTCCCAAAAAGTCTGCTCCAGTTGACTCTGACGAAGACGCACCACTATCCGCCTTCGCTTCTTCGAAGAAGCCTACTCCTCCGTCGGATTCCGAGCTGAAGGAAGGCATTATTGCATTGCTCAAGACAGTTAATCTTGAGGAAACCTCCTTAAGAGTTGTCCGAGAGCAGGTAAGTCCCAATCCATTTACATCGGTGGCTTGTGTGTTGCAGCAATGGAAGGTGGCTGTTCAATCACTATATGCATTTTGTACCAGATACTGTCACATCCTTGTCTATTACTTAATTTAGTACTGACCGTTGCACTTCGTACAATATTAGCGAAATACCAATTTAGTTTTCACGAGAGACCCAACTGAATCTCTTGTTTATGATGTTCTCCTTTGGCTGAATGTGCTGAACCAGGCCACCTCTTGTTTCACTTGGTACAATATACCAGCGTAACGGTGATACTACTGATTGGGAGGCACGCGAGTAGTATGTGTTGTTCGTAGAATTTTGCTTTGCGTGGACTGAAAAAGGGAATTCTGTTGCGGACTTCGTGGGGCCACTGTGTAACATTTGCTTGGATTTGACCGACGAATGAGTGGAGGCAACGAATCTCTAGGAAGACTCGTTCGGGAGAAGATCTGTGTCCAGTTTTTGTAACTAAGATGTAGATTAGAGTTTTGCTTCCCTGTTCAATGGTCTGTAACCGGTCAGTTGGCATTTCCGAATAAGTCCGTCCGCAGCGAAGGCCTTCTTCCTTTCACCAGTATCGTGACGTAACACACTGCCCATAAGGTCACTGAAAACCCTTCGACAGCCCACAAAGGAGAACAACCAACGGTTCAGTTGGGTTTCCCGTGAAAACAAAACTGGTATGCAAATGAGTGTACTTCGCTAACTTCATGCAGTTTGGGTTCAAATAGAACGTACCTACCTGATGAGCCCCCAAAAGAACGAAACTTATCGTGGGTTGTCGAAGAGTTTTCAGCAACCTCGTGAATAGTGTATTACCTTCGTGCAATGTTTACTTTACTTTTACTTTTACTTTTACTTTCTGGCGGCTTTACACACCTACCCACTTCCTTATTTGATTCGTTCCTGACTGGCTCCACTGTCGTTTGCATGCGGATTTCACCCGTTTCGTTCAGAATAAACTCTTATTTCTACACGGAATAGTTTGTACATAATAGTGTTCCCGTTTGTCCTCAGGATTTCGGACACAACGTTTTATTTTTTTTTGTAGATCTTCTCACGCTACCCCGGTGTCGATTTGTCTGGAAAACGAGACTTCATCAATACAACAGTGAAAGAAGTAAGTCAAGCTGGAGGATGCTTGAAAATTTCCTGGGCTGAACGAACGACGGCGTTGGCGGATCCCGCTCCAAGGTTTTCCGTGTTTTGGAAGGGAATTTATTCGTGTTGCCACGCCTTGAACTGTTGAGTAGAATTCGTCAAATGGTGTGGAGTCTATTTCGGGAGCTCATTTCTTAACCCTTGATCTTTCGGTCCTACTCGAAAGACCTAGCTGGCTTTGGATTTTCCTTTCTAAACCTGCGTGAAGTCAGGAACTTGACCTGACACAAGCATATATATA